ATAATTTACTGAATGCCTCTCGCAGCTAGTTGTTTTGTGTTAAAATAAACATTTGGGTAAAATTGTCGCTAACAAGGTTTCTTTTCCCTTTGTGTCTATTGCGAAGTTTGTCTTAAATTTCATTTCAAGTGACATTAAATAGGTCTTAAATTGGACTTGCCTTAAACTGTAGGAACCCTGTAAAAGCAGTAGGCTCCTTATAACCAACTTAAATACTACATGTATGATGACTTAATGTGAAATAAATAATACAGAAATACTATTAAAAATGAAAGTAAGGGTTTTATTCACTGATGAGTTGTGGTAAGTAGAAGCCATCTTGAATTCTGAACTCTCCTACTTTCTGACAGGGATTTTCCACTGGAGGGATGTTCCAGTTTAAATTTACAGCTTGTAGGTGGGAAGTTCCCACTTTACAGTACAACTAGGCTGTAGCAAAATGAGCTGGAAAAAATACATCCAAAAGTAGCTTTTACAATGCCAGCAGCAGAAATCTAAAATAACCACTAGTGAACCACTCCACAAATTCAATTAGGTTATCAGGATCTGATCGCCATAACTTTGTTSACATTGTTGAAATGCTGTGGACATTCTTACATTATAATGGARCCTAAATGAAAACAGAAAAGGGAATTAAAGCACATTTATTTATTAAATGTATTTATTTATAAATTTGCTGTCACATTTTAGAGATATTTACATGACGTCTTTATTTTTTGGCAAGAATGCCTTCGATTTTGCTACAACCATCCATCTCTCTATTTAGTTGTTGTTCTAGGTTTGTTCCTCTCAGCACTAAACTCGTGAGAACTGCCACCCAGGTGACTACAGGTGGCAGTTCTCAAGAGGTTAGTGACAGAGTTTGTTCAGACTGAAGCTATCACAGCTTCAGACAAGTTTGTGACAAGAARAGGCCAAATGAACCAASCAGCAGTTCTGCTATGGAGGACACTGCTGCTGGCCATGTAAAATCAAGAAGTTTGAGGCAGCATACATTAAGTATGGCTTTACAGCTATTCAATAGTGAATAAAAGTGAGAAAAAAACATTCTAAAAAAGTTGGTTTCTTTACRTATATTGATGCTTTTTTTTCTTTTTCTTTCTTTTCTTTTTTTGTCAATTTGCCAGAGGTTCCCTGGCCAGAATCTAATGTTGTWTGGGGGGCCTTGGCATGGAARAGTTTGGGAACCCCTGATCTAGAKGTTCAGAAAATTGGACTGGTAGTTGAGCTCCATGGGTTGCTGTGGCTTTGCATATTTTGGGTTGGGTAATTTGTGGTATCTTTTGGGTGAGGAGGATAAACCTTTGTGAGGCCAAAAGGAATGCAGAACATGTAATTAAGTTGAGACAGGAACAACATCTGCAGCCCCYGCCAAAATAACCTCAAATATGTCTGTTGGAACATAGTGAAATCTGAAATTACTTAAGGTCTTGTCATGGAACATGACTGGACTCAACTTTTTCTCAGACTTATGCAGTCAGTAATCACTTCGAACTATTTTAGGTTTCCTGTGAACTTTAGTTTGCCCGCAGCTAATTACAACACATTCTGTCTGCTTATTTGTACTTGCATGTTTCCTTGGCATTGGACATGTTTAGCGGAATATTGTGTATCATCATATGTATGCATGAAATTATCTTTAGATTTATGGTTGTAAAGCAGGGCTATTCAACTAAATTGTTCTGGGGGCCACAGTTTATRCAGACCAATGGCACAGKGGCCGAACATCCAGCAATTAAAGKMATTATGTAAATAAACCAAGTATTACAAAGATCTGTTACCTTTGAAATAGTTTATTTTGCTGTATTTAATCATGAATACAACATACAGAACCCTATAAAAGTATTGATAATGAAACAATATCAAAAACAAATGACACATTCTGCCTCCTTTTTAACACAAATAATATTTTGACATCTCTGACTTGCTGACTTTTTAAACCGATTTTATTTTCTCTTTCATAGTTTTATCTTCAACTGCTTTTTAACTGTCTTGAGTGTTCATAGAAATGGTTTTTACCAGCTTCTAGCCAAGTTTCTGATGTTGTTTAATGTCTATGTTTATTTAAAAGAACTTAAAGTAATTAAAGAAGAAAAAGTAATTAAAGAAGAAAACCTGTGGTTTAGACTTCAGAGATGAATGAACCAATTGGCGGGCTGCATTTGGTCACTCGCGGGCCGGATGTGGCCCATGGGCTGCCAGTTGAAGAGCCCTGTTGTAAAGCATCCTTTTAATGTAGGTATTGCTTTCAAAACTAATCTAAACAGAAAAAAGTTTAAATTGTGGCAATTTGGCTGTTAGCGTCTTGGCCTCCAGCACTTCAGATTCATAGAAAAAACATCACCAAAACTAGAAGCACTCGGAGAGTGCAAACCTCCGCCAAGTCCAATTTCCCCCATCCTGTAAGAGTTAATGTGTAAAAGCAGAGATGGAAACACATTTGCCGAATAAGTTCTGACGTAGCAAACATTTAAGCAGGCAGTATGCACGGGATTTCTTCCCGGTGGCGTCCAATATGGAAAAAAAGGAAAAAAGTCAGACTTGTCACCCGACGTTATTGTTGAAAGCTTTTGCATCGGTGCTACGTGATTCAAAAAAAGCAGAGTTTTCATCGCGCGTCTAATCACACAGACACACGCGTCTTCCTATCCTTGTGAGGACCACACACAGTGGTCACAACCACACTCTGTGCATTCTTTTTTCCCCAAAGTTTGGCGAGAGGTGGATAGAGGGGTGCACAAATAGCTCTTGACTTGATCTGGCCTCATTTAAATAATAATAAAAATGAACAAACAAACAACCCCCGAGTCTGAAATCCACAGCGTCACTCCTCTTCCTCAATCTTCATCGATCTGTGTACAAGCCTAATGTGGTGTGTTTGACGAAATGGGAAAAATAGGTTTCATGCTGCAGTCACGCACTTCGTGGTGACAAAACGTTCTCTAAATGCGCAGCAAATGCATAAAAATGCGCACATTATGGCAAGACTTATTCCTCATTACGTCTGGTTTTAACATTACTTTTATAAAGTTTGAAGTCCAAACACTGAAAGCTGTTTGCGATCTGAGAGGATTAAAAGAAAAAAATTCCTGTATCTGCATCGTGATCGRGAACATCACCAAAATTTATTGGTGTGTTCCTTGGGCCAGTACCCACTTATGTTAATTAAAGATGTCATGACAATCCGTCCACAAGTTTTTGAGTAACGTTGTCCACAGACAGAACGACAGACAGACGGACATACGCGACTGAAAACATTACCTCCTTGGCGGAGGTAATAAAGGCCTAGTATTCCTTGAAGAAATGCTCATGGCCCTGCACCTTTCATGCTCAGGTTTTAGACAATCTTATATTGAGACGAGAAGTAGTTGTTGCCATTTTGATCAAACCCTGAAATTKACATTTTCTTCATTATTTATAGGCATTCATCTAATAATGATTTTCTGAGTATCAACATCAGTGTAATTGTTAGGGCTGGACAATATGGCTAAAATTTATATCACRATATAACTTAATTTCAGTCGATRCAATCTAATTCAAATTTTGTTATGAATAATAAGAAAAACTGCTAAGAACACCAATATTTACCATGCCTACAAAGCTGATATTGATGTACAGCAGATACTGGAAGAATACTTGGTTTTTGTTGTTTCTCACTTGTTTACTTGGTGTTGCAGGACGTGGAGGTGATGTTCAGTAACATCCTGGACATCCATGAGCTGACAGTGAAGCTCCTTGGACTCATTGAGGATGCTGTAGAGATGACCGCTGATGGCAGTCCTCATCCGCTGGTGGGCAGCTGCTTTGAAGATCTAGCAGAGGTATGTACTGCAGCTACTTCGACCTGAAACTCTAAAAGCTTCAACATTTTACTTCACTTCAACAAGGAGTCATTTTTAAGACTGTGTGGGGGGGGTTTTTTTGTATAAAAAAAGGTCCGTCTACAAAAAGGTTTCACAGCTTTTGGAATGAAAACAAAATCTTGTGTGTTCACTAACAAATGAAAAGTCTGGCATTCCTTGAAGGAAAACACTCTTGTTGTTTTTCATCCCAGAGTTTCAAGCTAAGATAATCTCATCTTAAACGATCGTCTGGAATTTTACCCTTTTTCGTGGAACTTAAAAGATATTGTTACAGGGGCAGGAATATTTAAACACGTTACAATTTGTTCACAATTCAGAGGTCTGTGACCTGATTATAAAACCAGTTTTATGGTATCTCCATTCATTTATTTTAAACTAAATCAAAAAAAGAATTTCACAAACCAAGAGGTATTAAAATACATTTACTGTAGTTAAAAAGTTTAACATGAGATGTTTTGCTAACACTCACACAGGCAAGTACTATATCACTTTCTTTTCAGCAATGTACAATAATATTTTTATGTTGGAAGGTAGTTTCCAGTTGTAGTCTATGAGGAATATTACATTACAGAAAGTAGTTGAATATATACTTTTTTGTGTTAGAGATTAATATCACAGGAGGCAAACTAATCACATCTAAGGAGGGTTTTATTGTGAGCTTCACGAAATGGAAAACTTTTTATTAAGGTGGGATGTCAGTGAGACAGAATTTGAGTTAATTTTTACATTTAAATCTGGCAATATTGATTGTGCATGTAAATACATAAATCTAGAATTTCTGTTATTTATGCCATGTTTGTTGTTAAAGCACTTAAAAGACTCATGTATACTGTGCATGTGTACTTGTGTGTGTGTATATGCACACACCTTTTTGGGGGTGCATGCATTGTCATTATGGGGGCGCTGCCCCCCCCTTGAATATAGCTGGAGAAAACACTTTTTCCTGTTAAATATTTGCAGCTTGTTTAATAGGAAATAAATGAAATACACTCCAGATCAAAATTTTAAGACCATTTGAAAAATAGCAAGAATTTACATTTTGCTCTGTTGGATCATGAGAAGGTTCTAATTAGAGCTTTAAGAAGAAATGGGAGTGAGACAAAAAAAAACATCTGAGCAAGCATTTTATTACAAACAAGTATTAAAGTGAAATTTGCTGTTCATCAGCTGATCGAAAGATTAAAACCTTATCTTAAAAAAACACAACTAAAATAGAAACAGAATTTCAAAAAAGAACTCAGTAAGAGTAGCTGCGCCATTCCTGTTAATTACCTCAAAAATGTTGTTTTGACACGCTTTGATGCTAGTGTTTCCAGGAAGCTAGAAGGAGTGTTGCTCCAAATGGTGAAGATGGCTTCACAGGGGACATCTATTGTTGGAACTGGTGTCCATTTTTATAAACTCCTCGCCATCCAACCCCAAATGTTCTCAACTGGATTTAGATCAGGGGAACACATAGGATGATCCAAAAGAGAGATGCTTCTCTGGAAAAAGACCTTTGTCAGGCGGGCATTGAGAACTGCAGCATTCTCCTGTTGAAAAGCCAGTCATTACCACACAAGCTGCGTTTCCATTGCAAATGTGCGCAAAACTTTATTGATATTCTGTTAATGTCGAAAAAACACAGTTTCGCAAGAGTTTCCATTAAGTAAGAAATGATAAAGTCACACGTGAATATGTTTGTTCTCGCGATAAGTCATTACAAACATGGTGGTGATGGATGTAAACACATAGCATGTTGCTACCACGACACTAGCGCTCATCATCAGAGGAGACGTCGGCGTCTTTTATCGAGGCTTTCCAGAGACAAGTCCCTACTTGGGAGCGGCTACGTATGCTGTGTTTTTGGGAAATTGTAGTCGGTGGTTTTACTATTTCATACTACTTCTGTGATATTACTACTACTTCTACTTCCTGTTATCTTCTTCGTCATCGTCTTTTTCACCAGTAGAAACAGCCGGTTGTTGATCACGTGACTCCCTTGATGTGAAAAAAGTGTTTTCATTGCAGTTTTGTAAAAAACACCAATTTCGATACGGCCGAAAAACCACCTCATCCTAGCACAAAAACATTTTGTCGAAAAACGTAATTTTTTTCTAAATTGATTTATTGAGCAAATTTATTCTCGAAATTCTAATTTGCGCATTTTCATGGTCAATGGAAACGCAGCTACAGATGACGGTCTTCAGTCATGAGGGAGACCCCCTGCAACATCTCCACATAGCCAGCTGCTGTTTGACCCCTCTGCACAACCTGAAGCTCCATTGTTCCATTGAAGGAAAAAAAATTATGACAACACGCACTCCACTGTGCCGTGTAGAAAACATCTCAGGTGGGATTTCCTTGTCATGCCAGTAATGTTGGAAGCCATCAGGACTGTCGAGGTTAGTTTTTTTCTCAACAAAGAGTAAAATTTTCTTCCACTTTTCAATGTCCCATTTTTGATGCTCTCGCACAAACTCCAAACGGGCAGTTTTGTGTTGTTAAAGGAGACGAGGCCTTTCAGGCCTTCTCTTACAGATGCTGTCTGATGGTTATGGGACTGAACTTGGCACCAGTGACCAGCTTCATTTGGGCTGAGGATCGTCTCGTGTCTTGACGGACAGCCAATTGGATCCTCCAGACCACGTTCAAAGAGAGAGGTTTTTTTTACCTTTACCATCAGGTCACCTCACAGTGGATACCTGACAGAAAATGAGCCTGAATCCACATTTTTGCTAAGACTTGGCTTTTAAATGCTGCTGTCTTAAACTTTGGATAAGCTGATGAATGGCCTATTTCATGTGGTGGATGTTTAAAATAAAAAAACATGCGTACTCAGATGTTTTTTTGTCTCACTCCGATTTCTTCTTTTTGCATTTCAAAGCTCTAGAACCTTCTCACGATCCAACAGTGCAAAATATGAATTCTTGCCATTTTTTAACTGGTCCTAAAATTTTGATCAGGACTGTATATGAATATGTTATTTTAAATAATAATGCTTGGAATCCTGTGTGTGTTTTAGGAGCAGGCATTTGACCCCTACGAGATCCTGGCTCAGGATATTCTTGACGTAAAATTTGCCGAACACTTCAACAGTATGATGACACGTCAACCAGTTTGGCTTAATTTACAGGTAATATAAAATACTTGAGTTTATTTATTTAATTATATGTATTAGTGCTGTGCGTAAATTAAATTTTTTAATTATGATAAATCTCAGGATATTATTGGTATTAATCGCAATTAATTTTTTAGAAACAATCACACTACTATGGCTGAATGTGTGTGTTTGTTTGTTTGCAATACACTCCATGTGTGACACGCTGTATACATTTTTTCTTTTGTTTTTCTTTTTATCTGAGTATCTATCTTTCATTCCTCATTTGGAATGACAAAAAAAATCCTTGAATTTTTTTATTTAATCTTACAATCATGTTTTAAACTGAAGTGATATTTCATCCTCGAACTTCTCCAGTGGTGAGACAGTTTAGCTTTGCAGAGAACTTTATTTCTGTCCCACCGTTGGAAACATTTTAAAATGAGAAAATGCTGTGAAGAATCTGATGACTTCCATCATGTTTCTTCTGGGGCTGCAGCTCGGCTGGGTTCACGAGTGGCTGTGAGTTGCCACGCAACGGCTCGACAACAAAGGCCCTCATTGGATGAGATACATGACGAAGGTCATCTAAAGCCATTAATGATCAAAATCCCACCTCCCTGCCGTGACCACCGGGTTTGTGTGGGTCTGTGACTATGTTTCCATTGACCATGAAAATGCGCAAATTAGAATTTTGAAAGTAAATTTGCTCAATGGAAACACATCAATTTCGAAAAGAATTACGTTTTTCAACAAAATGTTTTTGCGCTAGGATGAGGTGGTTTTTCGGCCGTATCGAAATTGGAGTTTTTCGCAAAACTGCAACGGAAACACTTTTTTCGCATCACGGGAGTCACGTGATCAACAAACGGCTGTTTCTACAGGTGAAAAAGATGATGACGAAGAAGATAACAGGAAGTAGAAATAGTAGTAATATCACAGAAGTAGTATAAAATAGTAAACTCACCGACTACAATTTCCCAAAAACATAGCATACGTAGCCGCTCCCAAGTAGGGACTTGTCTCTGGAAARCCTCGATAAAAGACACCGACGTCTCTGATGATGAGCACTAGTGTCGTGGTAGCAACATGCTATGTGTTTACATCCATCGCTGCCATGTTTGTAATGACTTATTGCGAGAACAAACCTATTCACGTGTGACTTTAATAGTATTTCTCACTTAATGGAAACACCACAGTTGCGAAACTGTGTTTTTTCGACATTAACAGAATATTGACAAAGTTTTGCGCACATTTGCAATGGAAACACAGCTAATGTGTGTGTTAGCTGCCCAGTGAAGAGACGTAGAAAGATAAAGAAATAAGTAACTGCATTAACGCGTGTTAAGCATCGGCTGCGTTAATGGGTTAATAACATAACGCACACATTGGAGGTAAAGATGCTACTGTAAAGATTTTTTAAAATGCAGCAAGGGCAATTCTTTAAGAGTAACCTGCAGCTATTCTCAACTACCTTGTGATTAGACCCTAAAGATAAAATTCACTGGATGCTACTTTGCTTGTAACCTTTAGAGTTGAACTGGAGGGTTTCATACAGCTGCAGTCATTTTAAATAAATGATAAAATAATAATAAAAAAGAAACTGCCTCAGTTAGCATATTCTTTATTAATACAAACTGGAGATTTTTATAGCCCCTGGGAGCTAATCTCCCTGTCTTTTAATCCTTCCATGTAGACAAAATATTTTAGCATGTATTTGGGAAGATGATTGTTTAATATCTCCAGCTTACTTAAAATTGGGACAGTTAAATTAAGCTATTTATATTGTTTTAATATTGGCTTAATATTTCTTTAAAATGGAGACATAGCTGCTAAAAACATGCTAACAGTTAGGCTAACACTACAGCTAGTGCTAATGCTAACACCACCATAAGCTTTAATTTATTAAAAGCAAAGAACTGCACAATTAAATAGTGAAACGGGGACAAACTACATTTACAGTTTCACTCACCAGGCACAGATTCGGGCTGTKTGTTGATATTGCTGGAAGCTGTCTGACTCACAGGGGTCCGGACGAGCCGCCTTTGGTGGCCAGTCTTAGCCCAGATGGAGCTCTGGATCGGGGTRTATGTCCATAAAATTAAAAGAGCAAACAAACTCTCTTCGGTGGGTTTTGAGTTTTAAAGCTGCCCGTCACGTTAATTTAGTTCGTTAGGGGCTGAGCACGAAAAAAACTTTTATTTTTTCTTTTCTTATTTTTTTCTTTTTCTTCTTGTTGTTCCAAGAGAAATGTTTTTAAAGCCTTTCTCAGTTTTCTTGAATTGTTGTGGCAGCCGACAAAAGCGACTCGTGAT